TCGTCCACCCCTCCGATTTCCCCCGCTTCATTCCTCCCCTCCCACTACCTTCTTCTTCTTCTTTTTTTTTTTCTTAACATATCTTGCATTATTTGCCTGAGAAGACTTTCATTCCTACAGATTCAACACTGTTCCCAGATAGAGTGTGTGTACGTGACTGAAAAGCGCTATCTGACCCACCTATACGTGCATCTGTATCCCCCTGCCCCCTACCAAGGCTGTGAGGGGCTTGTTCACCAACCGCTTTGTAGGGGAGAAAACATGTCAATGCGAGAAACCAATATTGCATTATATGTTAACTAACAAAATTTAAATTTAAAAAATTGTAAATGCAAATGTCCTATCTTCATGGAGAAATCAGGAATGACAATGAGTGTGAGTATTTAACAGCAAAGAGCTTACAAAGATTGAAAAAAGGCTATTTGAAAAAAAAATTTAGACAAAGTAGAACTTGATGCGAAGGGAGTGGGTCCAAGCAGAAACCTGTTTCGTAATCAGGACTCTTCCAACTGAGTAACCTTGGGCAAGTTACTTAACCTCTTTGTGCCTTAGTTTTCTCAGCCTATGGAACAGCATAAAACACCCACCTTGCCTGTTGGACAGGACTCTGGTGTGCTATACCGAATGTTGATCACTTACAGCCTGCTGGCCAAATTCAGCCTGCAGCCTATTTCTAATAAAGTCTTATTGGAATACGGTCACTCCCATCTATTACATGCTGGGTGTGACTGCTTTCTCAGTACAGTGACAGATCGAGTGGTTGTGACAGACCCTATAGCTCTCCCAGTGCCAAAATATTTATCATCTGGCCCCTGTGTTCAGTCACATCAGTGAGGTCATATCATCAGCATCATGAATTCATTATAAAATTGAAGTATGTATCAGTTGACAGAGGTATATGGGAGAGATCTCTTCATTTCACAAGAAATATAAGGAAGGGCAGGATTTGCTGGATATTAATGCATTTTCTTGAAGAAGTCTTTGTTTTGTTTGGTGAAATGTTGGTTTGTTCTTAGGCATCTGGGAATCTTCAGGTTGCAAAGCACCCCCCCACCCCCCTCACCCCCCGCTGCACAGGTCCTTGCAGGCCTTATTTTCTTGATTAGAGAGGATGATGGGACTTGCAGTATTTCCCATTCCATGAGAAAATGAACCGTGTTGTGAACGCCTAAGACAGGACAGAGTGGGGGCTATACTGATTCAACTGAGATCATGACCTGAGCCGAAATTAAGAGTCACATTCCCAACCAACTGAGCCACCCAGGCGCCCCTGTCCTCTCTAACTTTTAATTTTTAAAAATTGCAAACTTACAAAAAAGTTGAAAGAATACTTACTACTACCTTGTAACCTTCCCCTGGATTCACCAGTGGTTAACCTTAATCATATTTGTTTTAATGTTCTCTCTTCTCCCCTCCTCGCCACATTTTTTTCCTCAATTTTTAAGTGAGCGGCAGAAACAAACATTGAGTAGCAGATATCACTATTCTTCACTCCTTAATGCTTCAGCAGGCATCTCCTAGGAGGAAAGATATCCTCCTACGTACAAATGTAACCACAATTTCATGCCCCCCCCCGCCCCCGCTCAAGAGTTGTGTTTCTGTTACAGTAATATTATCTCACATCTGGTCCTTACTCAGATTTCCCCATTGGCTTTTTTTTTTTTTAAAGATTTTATTTATTTGACAGAGAGAGACACAGCGAGAGAGGGAACACAAGCAGGGGGAGTGGGAGAGGGAGAAGCAGGCTTCCCGCTGATCAGGGAGCCCGATGCGGGGCTTGATCCCAGGACCCCAGGATCATGACCTGAGCCGAAGGCAGACGCTTAACGACTGAGCCACCCAGGCGCCCCCCTCCATTGGCTTAAACAGTGTCCTTTATAGCTCAAAAAAATTCCAGGATCCTCTCAAGGATTCTTTGTTGTAGTTAGTTGTTGTGCCAATTTAGATTTTTTAAGCACTTGTCAGCCTTTATTCCCTCCTGACCTTTACTCCCATTCTGGGTCCTTCTGTCTCCCACTTTGCTTCTCTGCCTCTTCTCTTGAGACAGAGTTTCAGTATTTACTCTCTTCAGCCCTGCAGGTGTCGGCCAGTCTTAAAGAGCAGGATGGATCTTGACGTGGTTAACATGTTTGTGATCGCGGGCGGCACGTTGGCCATCCCAATCCTGGCATTTGTAGCCTCGTTTCTCCTGTGGCCTTCAGCGCTGATAAAAATCTATTACTGGTAAGTTAATTTTATACTTGAAGTATTCAAGAGCGTCATAACAGCAGTGTCGTCTTCTCTGCTTGTCCTTTTGATGGCGGTTTTTCAACATTTTATCGTGAAATATTTCAAACATACAGAAAAGTTGGAAGACAACGTGTCTTGAGTCTGGGGAGTGTTCTTGAAGAATTGGTGGTCGCTCCTCACTGGGTAAATTTCTTTCTGGTTTCTGATCGCTTCTTTGCCGGGGAGGCCACCCTCACTCCCAGAGTCACTGATTCTGTCTTCAGGCAAGGATTGTGCATGGTTACAGGAGCTCCTTTGGTATTTTCTTGGTTGTTGAATTCTGACCCAGTGATGTCCTGACCGGGGCAGTGATGTGCACTGAAAAATGAACTGGAAAGACCAGGGCCAAGGAGATGGCATGGGTAGGACAGAATGGGTTTTAGATTTGTTCTCAAGGTGTTCATTAGTAAAGTGACGGAAAGAAAAAGAAGTTTCCAAAATTGTTATTCTTGTACCATCTTTATGAGTCTTGCTGTATCTGTAGAACAGCTCTACTTTCCTTTTGTATTTTCTTTAGAGTAAGTCACTCTTTTTACCTTAAATCGATTTAAGAGTGATAATAAATATTACTACCTTAAGCAGAAAATTTGTTTGCCGTACTTGCCATAAATAGTAAATTAATATTAAAAAGTAAAAATGAGCACAATGTCATTCAGCAGTGTTCTTAAATTCTAGCTTACCAAAGACTCTGTGTCTCCTTTCTCTTTGTTACAAAGTCCAGAGAGGTGTGAAAGATGTAGCAGCCCCGAACAGAAATCACCCCTCATGCCCCATGGTGTGTGTCCCCTGGGGAAGGCAATCCCAAAATAGCCCTGGTTCCTCTCTGTGCCCCAGGGAGAAGGGAAGCATGTTGAGATTTAACTGGGACTCTGGCAGTTAGAACTACCTTCTATGCACGGAGGAAAGAACGCAGAGAGGTTGCGTTCAGCTTGTGCCCTTTATCTGCTCTCCTTTCTGGCTCCCTTTTGTTTCATTAGAGTGTGGAATTTTCCGCCTGCCAGCCAGGCTCTGATCCTTGAAAAGAAGCTAATTGAACAGAAGGGAGCTTTTCATCCTCACTCTCCCGCTCCCTCTTGGAGGGGGGTGGCAGTGGTGACCCTTTCAGAGGGTCACCCAGGACCCACCTCTGCGTCGACCACCTGAGATTCTGGCTGCGTCCATGTGATTCCCCTGCAGCGCTGGCAGCCAGAGAGCTTGGGGGCCCAGGCCCCCCTGTGGCCCCTGCCATGGAGAGCCCAGAGTCGTGGGCCCCTCGTGGCTCGGCAGAGGCACCATGGCTCTCCACACACGAATGCCATCTTTCTTAACTCCAGTCAAGGCAGAGAATGCAGTTCGGTGATGGGGCCCATCACCATGGATATGGCTGCACACAGAGGTGTGATTATATAAAGGCCGATTCCACCCACCACATGCGGAAACCGGCCTCCAGGCTGCGTAATCCCTTCCACCCCCAGCCTACTTGGGCTGTCAAGGAGAAGGCTTTCAGGGTCCAGAATGTCAGAATAATTTTGACAGTTGAGCTTTGAAAAGAAAAATAACCTCATAGCAAATAATTCACCTTTTTATTGAGTTAAAATTCACATAACATAAAATTCACCGTTTTAAAGTGCATAATTCAGTAGTTTTAGTACATTCATGGTGTTGGAGCGCCTTGCTGGCTCAGTCAGAAGAACATGTGACTCTTGATCTCGGGATCGTGAGTTTGAGCCCAAGTTGGGTGTAGAGATTACTAAAAATGAAAACAATGAATCGTGGATCACTACATCAAAAACTAATGATGTATTGTATGGTGACTAACGTAACATAATAAAATAAAATTTAAAAAAAAGATTACTAAAAAAAAAGTAAAAATAAAAACTTAAAAAAAAACCATACAGGGCGCCTGGGCGGCTCAGTCGTTAAGCATCTACCTTCGGCTCAGGTCATGATCCCAGGGTCCTGGGATCGAGCCCCACATCCGGCTCCCTGCTCAGCGGGAAGCCTGCTTCTCCCTCTCCCACTCCCCCTGCTTGTGTTCCCTCTCTCGCTGTGTCTCTCTCTGTCAAATAAATAAATAAAA